GAATTTCACGAAAAAGAGAGTACTGGAAGGATTAAAGTCACCAGTACTCAACGGGGTAGAAATTCCGTTCGCCCTAGAGGCAAAATACTTAGGAGTCATTTTTGACCATAAATTAACATGGAATCAACACCTACAAAAAATTGTTCAAAAAAGTACAGTAGCCTTCAATCTGTGCAGACGAATGTGCGGGAAAAATTGGGGACTGCAACCAAAAATGACCACATGGCTCTATGCCAGCGTCATCAGGCCTATGATAGCATATGGGTCAGTAGTTTGGTGGCCAAAGACACAACAGGCTAGAGTGATTCGAAGGCTTAGTGCTATTCAAAGGCAAGCTTGCCTGAGTGCCACTGGTGCAATGAAAACCACTCCAACAGCCGCTTTAGAGGTCCTCTTGAACCTACCACCACTACAAATATATATTCAAGGCGAAGCCAGAGCAGTCGTGAGTAGATTGTCAAGGGGTCAAGCACCCATAAGCAGCGCGCACGGTAAAGACTATAGAAAGCTATATGAAGAGTTGGAAAGCGACCCCATCATGGGAATGCCAACGGATGGCATAATTCCAAAATATAGCTTTGAGAAAACCTTTAAAATAAGTATAACGGACAGAGAGGCATGGAAGGAAGGACCTCCTATCAATGCAGACATTGCTGTCTATACGGACGGCTCCAAAACTGAGTTTGGATCAGGAGCTGGTATTTATGGGGCCAAGCCAAAGACAAGAATCTCACTGAGCTTAGGTAAATACGCGACGGTGTTTCAGGCAGAAATTATTGCAATACATCATTGCGTGAAAGAATTGATAAGGCAAGAGTTTAAAGGCAAAACCATTGCAATCTATTCAGATAGCCAGGCGGCAATCAAAGCAGTCAACTCTATGCAAGTTAACTCAAAACTAGTATGGGACTGCTTAGAAACCCTAAATGCACTGGGCAGTCAGAACAGACTGACTCTAGCATGGGTACCAGCACATACAGGGTACGAGGGCAATGAAGAGGCAGACTCACTTGCCCGAGCAGGAGCAAACAAAGCTCTGAATGGCCCAGAACCCTTCTGTGGTATTGCGAAAGCTATACAAAAGACTAGTATCAAATCATGGATGCAAACCAAATCTCAAGAATGGTGGAACAAATCGCCAGGAATGAGACAGGCAAAAGAGTTTATTAAAAAACCATCGCCAACATTCACAGAATATCTACTAAGCCAGAAACGAAGTTCAACTAGAATACTAGTGGGACTTCTCACAGGGCATTGTAGGCTCAACAAACACATGAGTACGATAGGTCTGACTGAAGAACTGCTGTGCAGGTTCTGTCAGAAAGAGGAGGAAACAGCAGTACACATACTTTGCCACTGTGAGGGCTTGTCAAGACTAAGGTTCCTTACGCTGGGTGAGGAAAAACCAGAAGCCCAGAGATACACAGGGGATCTGAAAGCTAGCCTATGGAGTCTCATAGAGAAGACGGGGCTAGCCGAAGAACTCTAATCGATTTTGAGGGCAGACACAATAGATCTGAAAAGGTCGCGGTGTGGAGGCAGATAGCCCGAAGGCCCCATTCTAAATCTAATCTAATCTAATAGTTTCGTTTCAGCAAAGAGTTGTTCAGCTGGATAAGTACGATATCTACTAAGCCAGAAACGAAGTTCAACTAGAATACTAGTGGGACTTCTCACAGGGCATTGTAGGCTCAACAAACACATGAGTACGATAGGTCTGACTGAAGAACTGCTGTGCAGGTTCTGTCAGGAAGAGGAGGAAACAGCAGTACACATACTTTGCCACTGTGAGGGCTTGTCAAGACTAAGGTTCCTTACGCTGGGTGAGGAAAAACCAGAAGCCCAGAGATACACAGGGGATCTGAAAGCTAGCCTATGGAGTCTCATAGAGAAGACGGGGCTAGCCGAAGAACTCTAATCGATTTTGAGGGCAGACACAATAGATCTGAAAAGGTCGCGGTGTGGAGGCAGATAGCCCGAAGGCCCCATTCTAAATCTAATCTAATCTAATAGTTTCGTTTCAGCAAAGAGTTGTTCAGCTGGATAAGTACGATTATTCTTGAAGATTATCTTCAAAAAAGTATTTTTGTAGAGTTACTAGAATTATCATCCGTTTCAAGTATAAACATCCAGTGCTCCACCCCAAGCCAATATTCCGTACTGTATTCGAGATTCCACAAATGCATAATAAAAAAATTTCATATGTTATGTATTCAAAGATATTAATCAAATATTTGAAACGGTACAGCATGGTTCTCAAAGTATTCACAACATTTTGGATTTGCTTGTCCTATCTTAGATGTTGATCAATGGTAATCCCAAGATATTTGATGCATTCTGTATATTTGATATGTATAGAAATTTTTCCGTAATTTATTGTCAGCTTATCGTATACTCAGGTAATTTACTTTTATAAGAAGTAAATGGTACAAACTTTGATTTATCAAAATTTATGGTAAGTTTCATGTGACTGAACCAGTGAACTACATTTTGCATGTCACTCTCAATTTTTTTTTTCAAATCCTCCCAACTTTTAGCTCTATAGAGAACTACCGTGTCATCAGCAAAACTTGTGATGTTACCTGAAATGTTGATAGTGAACAGATTATTTTGATATATGTTATATAGTGAGGGGCCCAGAACTGTCCCTTGAGGCACTCCATACTCTATATGGTTCTTTGTTCGCTATATTCAATTTCAATTTGAACAATCTGTTTTGTTGCTGATATCGCATACCATATGACATCAATCATGAAATTTCATAGATCCAGCCAGGTGTCAACGAAATGATCGCATCACATATCCCTCCACAGACGAGCCTCCCTTGGCCAACAACATTTAAGACCCATTATCGAGATGGCCGAACATTAAATGAGCTAAATGTGTGAACATTACTGCCGGTTCGACGCGTTCGCCAATACAGGTTCGCAAAGGCGTGAAGATTCACACCAACGGGACACCGAAAACACATAATAACACTCATATTCCACACCGAATAATGACCTTGTTTACACGGATAATGCGCTCACACAACGGATTACCAGGTAAAAACTCCGGCATAATACGCGTTAGTGAATGGTGAATAGCCACTCCAACTATTCTCTCCGCTGATTTTATACAGTTCCTGCTTATCCACTTCGGTTAATATAGTTGTCACTAGTCACTACCCATACGGAATCGCATTGTGCTTATTGTTGGGATTTGATTGCAAAACATGCAGATTAGATTTTGTTGGTGAAGAAAGGGCACAAAAGATGCGGCAGGGCTTAGCAGACCGTATATTTTTTGACAGGAGTGCACTCGAAATGATGAATGGAATGGCAGGGATGAACTTCCAATGTTCTTGTCTGTTTCGGCACTTTTCTAGTCCAGTGTATCTCGGATTTGAACTAGATGCTCTGCATCCTCTGAATTTGGTGTGCATTATTTTGAGATTTTTTCCATAGCGTTTAAAACCTCAAAGAATCCCGAGTTTGAATATCGTATAGGTTTTATATCGATTTTGTCCATATCATTAAAAATATACTTCTTGATAATATGCCCTATTGTTATTGCAAATATTCAGATTGCCAATGGATTACGAGTCTTCTAATGTTCGGAATAAGTTACGATATTGAATTGAAGGGTTTCAGATGTGATGTCCATAGTCATATATATGGCAAATAGAAAACGTAAAGACAACAATGGAATGGAACAAAGAAACAAAATGGTATATAGCCATTCAATTTCAGTAAAAACCGTTTAAAAACAAATCACTTGCCTTACATTCTCCAACCTATACTAATAGTATATACTTCGATTACTATATGAATTAACTTATGCATTCAATAAATAGGTAGTCTTAGTATACCTAGTATTGAGTCTATATAAATCAACCTATCTGATTACTTTCATCATCTTTCTGTCAGTATAATGTTTATCATCATTTTTCTTCAAGAGAACATTGAAACTAAATTTTAATCTTCTTCTGAAGATTAAAACTAAACCTATATATATATATATAGTCTTCTTAACACTCACACGGGAAAATAGGTTTAGTGCAAATAGCAAAATCAGTTTGGGTAATGAAAATCTGTAGCTGTTCCTAGACAATTGAATGCACCCAAGAACTTATGATCGCCAAAAAAATTCAAACAAATCCTCTCCTTATCCTGTTTATGCATGCACAATGGTTTACGAACATAGGAATTCCCTTTCGTGCGCCCAAAAGATTATAGAAAAAAAAAACAACGAGATTTTTTCGACAAACATTTGAATTCGGCATTGGTATAGCTGAAAAATTTACCAACTAATTGCTCTCGATAACATATATATCGATCATGATAAACACTAAATTTTGATGGGTAGAAGGAACTATCAAGTATTCTCAGCTGATTAACCCATCAGCAGTGTCTATATAAGACCAGAAATGGTTCAGTATCACGTGATGCCTTCTAAATACATATTGACAATTATTGATCTGGTAGTGATGAATTATTATGTAGAGTACACTTAAAATTTTGATGTCTGATAGCGACAGAGCTTTTTGCTGGAACTACTGAATTTTTGGGACAGTTGATGCAAGTTATTTTTTCCGCTTATCCATTTGAAATAACGAGAGAAATGTAGAGTAGACTTCATTTTAGATCTCTGAGACTCATGGGATTCATGGAATTACATTTTCGACCACGATGACCTTCTGTTCTATAGCCTGAATAAGTGAAACCAAAATGGCAAACTTCAACATCATGTATTGAGAACGAAATACCTATATTTATTAACAATTTTGGACGATTGTTTCCTGAAGATATGAAACGTATTTGCCTTGAATGTGCAGTTGTGTACTATATTCAATTTTCCATTCGATAGTGTGGAAAAATGGCTACAACGGCTGTACTTTACTTTCATGGTACTTGATCCTTCATTGATTGTATCATTACGTTCCCCTAATCATGCTCTGCCCTCCATCCAACAAAAACTTTTCCATGTGGAGTTTTTAATATTATCACATAATGCGTCAGATGTTATTATGTCTGAAGCAGCAGGAGGTGGGTCAATCAAAGTAAGGGTTTGGATTATGAACCGTATAAAAGCTGAAAATTATATACCCTGTGTCATTCATACAAAAGTGATAGCTACCCATACCTTCATCAAATCGGATATTATCTATATCGTGTGATGTGGATGTGAATCATTGTGAATGAATTTGATGTTGAATAAAGGATTATGGTGATACCATATACATACTTTCGCACCAAATTCATCATTGAATATAGTTTCGTGCATCATCCTGATACCCTGAAATCCAAGATGGCCGTCACTACTCCTATTAGACCAAATTAACTATTCTCATTCACATTCCATCTGAACCCAATCCTTTCATTTAGGATCATTTCCACTCTTCTTACCACCAATTAACTTATTTTCTTCAAATACTCACATTAGGATTCAAATGTTTTTCAGAAACATGAAAAAATAATCGGTACAGTCGGTAATTCACTTACTTAGGTATTTCACTTGAAGAAGCAGGAAGGTATATTGTGTTAGTATAGAACATGCCGTGTTTTTGAGAATGTTCTGAATTCTTTCATTTGTGCAGATTCCAACATTCACTATGATGGTTGTTCATCAATACGTAACGGCCGAGCTAATATAGACCATATATTTTTTGGAAACTCTTATCCATAGTGAAATATAAGTGGTATAAAAAAACTTCATAATCATTATTGTCAAAATACTGAATATATAGTATATAGGAAACTATACTCATTATATAGCATATATCTATATAAATATATAAAATTCAGTACATAATTTTCATACAGGGAGATTTCGGATAGCACCGATTGAAAATCCTCGAATCGAATATGTGGGATGATACAGGGTGTTTCATAATTGAATGTCAATATTCGAGGAGGCGATTCTTGGACGCATTCTTAGGAAAAAGTTTCATATTATGAACGTATGACCTAAACGTCTAACTTTTGAGATAAAGGGCAGTAAAGTTCTCAAAATTGAATATATAGCCCATATATACTACAATGAGACGTTATAATTCCAAAATATACCAAATACTAATAAAAAGTTCATGAACTATGAATTACATTTCTGAAATTTGATCTGAAAATTAAAATCTATTTATCTACATTGTGATATTGTCATATTAACAATACTGCTATAATCATTTAGTGAAGGCTTCTAATTTTTTTAAGCAAAAACCGTGCATCAGATTGAATAAAATGTTGTGATCGAATTTGCTCGTATAGAAATGATTAGGAATTTCAGGAATGACTTCAATTTCAAGATCAATCAGTGGCGTACCATCAATGTCTGCCTAAATAGGTATGTGAAATTCCATATGAAACGCCACTGGTGGAAACCAAGAAAATGTGGTATACTCTAACTGAGGCCTCTTTATACATAGTACATGTATGCCAAATTTCATTAGAATATCTGAAGTGGTTTCACAGATATTAATAAAAAACTATATTTTTTGAGGACTTTACCACCCTGTATCTCAAAAGTTAGGACGTTTAGGTCATACGTTCATGTAAAACTCTCCTCTTAGAATGAGGCCAAGAATCGCCTCCTCAAATATTGACATTCAATTATGAAACACCCTGTATATCTACAGTCTACAGGGTGTTTCCAAAATTAGATCGATAAATGAAATTGATGATGTAGTATTCGGTATGAACTAAAATGACACAATAAATCGCAACGAAAATTCGATAAAGCATTCAAGAAAAATATATAGGTTGCTATATAAACATCATTTCAAGTTTCTATTATTCTGCGGCATGCAGCATTGCCATACTCATTGATATACTCCTGGTGCTCCTCTGATTCACGCAATTTTCTGGCAAACTTGAAAATATCACTATCTATCACAAAAGTGTTCTCCAATCGCTTTGTTTTTCTTTGTCTTCTGTCTCGTTTTAAATGGGTAAGTGAATTGATGATAGCTTGATATTTTCGAATCAAACACTTCATATTACGACTCAGTATTTTTATTTCAAATCTAGGAACGAATTCCTATAGATACATCTAAGACTTGCCTGTATAACTCTGTATTTTGCTCAGGCATTGACGAATTGGTGGACGTAAATCTACACCTTCGCCAAAATTTGAAAGGGAATCAAGTTTTCTCAGTTTTTTTTGTGAACGGTATGGAATAACCAGTCTTCACAGCATGGTCCCATATTTGTGCGAAATTTAAAACTCTCTTCTGAATCTCCATCAATGGAATCGAGAATTTCAAAGAAGGTGAGTATGATTGCTTTTCTGCGATCAAAGCGAATAAGAAGATTGTCTATATTCGATCATCCCTCATAAAGTGGCTATTGATTCAGCCCAATTAATAAGTCGAATCCATGAATCCGTCGAAAGCCGCAAACCCCAAAAACAGATCGAAAGGCTCCAAAACGTCACCGTAATCCAACCAGCTTTTATCCCATCATTCGGAAACGCATAAATCGCATAATGAAATGAGGCCCTAACTAGTTTGCGGACGCTGGCCTAATCAACGTTGCCAATCCACCAGGAAAATTATCCGTATAGAACAATCCCAGTAAACACACTCACGTCTCAATAACGTAGTAAAATTTCCACAACGTTCGGTATAGTAATAACGTTTAATAGAATCTTTTGATCACGTTGAATCAACGCGAAAATGTCGCTGACATCCACGTTATCTTCAACCAGTACAAAAATGTATTTTCAACTACTAATTTCAACGTAAATATCCGTTTGAAACCAGTGGAAACTGCCCGGTTCTAAACGAAATCTTTCATGCGAAATAAACGTGACATATCAACCGTTAAACAAGTTGATAAAAAAATATATTTCAACGTTCACTCCGGATCAATTTTCAATCGTCGAATTTTCGGTTTTTCGAAAGTTTCTTCAACGTTTATTTTTCGTTATTTTTGTGTATACAATTATTTTATCCGCATTCTTATAATTTGTATAAATAATTAACCTGCTATGTTGTCCATGTATTATGTATTTCCTTTCCTCAGCTGTTCCACTTTCTTCTTAGTGAGGTGCCCATTACTACGTGTCCCTAATTGAATATGCTCGACTAATCTTATTTGTACCCAATCTCTTGGTGTGAGCGTCAGCGAGATGTAAACGGATTGAATACACGTTGTCTATAGTGACGATTAACTAACGTTATTGTTGGGATACATATTTCACGTTTTTTTTTCTTTCAACGGTTATCAAATACTCTCAATAAAACGTTTGATTAACGTTCATTTCAACAGTTCAATAAACGTTTCGAATAAACGTTAGTTCACCGAGAGAACTCTGCCGCAAAAATGAAAAGTAGTTTACCATGTGAAATACACGTTTTAAAATGACGATACGGTTCTTATACTCATGATCTTTAAAATTTGTACAATAAGTGGAGGGAAAATGGGAAATCCGACTTGAACATTTTCATCATTGTGAAACTCCTGGTTCCTCAGGAGGTGAAGTCATTCTTGTTAATGTCAGTAGGATTCTTGTTTCTGAGTTAATCGAATTTTTTCAGATGAAGTGATAAATGTCAATCGAACATACACCATTCATATGAATTAAGATTCCAAGTGATATACAGTGATCTCGTTTTCTCTAACCATTGGATAAGCTATCGCAAATTTCAATTTTCGATAGTTTTGTTTACAAAAATTGACAGTTTCTGCATTTTCTTTGTCAATATTCAATAGGACACTGTGATTTTTTCATCGAATCATTCAGAAATTGAGATTTGTGATAGCTCCTAGCTTTGACCATCCAAAGGTAACAAAAAGTCCGTATTTAAAAAAAAATTAGTTGATGATGGTTTCTGGAATGATAAAGATTAATTTGTTCGAATAACTAAAAGATATTGGCGCTCTTAGAAAATTATAATTTTTTGGTATATCTCCGAATTTTCGGTATTTTTCATGTTTTGAAACGGAATTTCCTCAAGCATAAAATTGCACAGTTTTGCCAAGATTTAACTGACACTGCATCTCTTACAGTTAACGAGATCCCAATGATGAGGCTCTAATTCCAGTCACCCTGTACATGATCTGGACATTACAAAATCTGGAGATTTTCAATGAAAATCGAAGAATCTGAGATTTACTGAGAATCAGCAGATCTGGCAGCGCTGTGCTAATGCTCACAAATATACGAGGGGGTATGGAAGCGCCCCCTGTGGCGCAATCGGCGCCTCAGCGCCATTGTCAACTTTTCGTGTCTCGACGAACAATGCAGCTTTTTGTGGTCTGTGTATGTGACAATCTCACCTAACAGGAATAGCTGTTTTAATCCGACTAATGATGTCTTTTCAACAGCGATTGAGCCAGCGGCGGTACTCTCTGGCGGTTGCGGTCGCGAAAGACAACGACTGGTTATAGGGTTGTTAAGGTAAAAACAGTGTTGTCTCTGTGGATTATCTCCTTGGTTGGAGTAGGTACTTCTATTATCAGCAACAACATATTATGCACTCTTTGTGTGTTAGTTAATCTCATCCTCATTATATTAGTTGAAGGTATAAGTATTCCCAGACCAGAGCGTCATTACTTTCCAGAATATTTTGCCCCCTCCATGTGATGGCATGCTTGAATTATTGAATAGCCAAAAACACGATTCTTATGCCAAAATAATTGTGAGAAACTATTTCAATAATAAATGAGAGAAGTGAGGTTATATTTCAATTTTTACCTCCATCAGGGTTGGTCATCTGACAGATCTTGCACGCAACCCATAGCAGCATTGACAGCAATGAGGTTATGTCTCGCAGATTATGACAAAATGACAAATACCGAAACCTAAGCAATTACTATAGTTCTCATATCGAAAAAATTCAAACTAACGGAAATTAATGTATATTCAATGATAGTGAGTATTAAAATAGGATAATTCAGTATTATAATCATCCCTAAATTATATAGAGCAAACAAAGATCACATGAGCGTGCGGGAATATTGCCACACTGTTCGTTTTCACTTTTGCATGGCTTTGGTCATATTTGAGATACCTATATACTTATAACGTTGTTTGCTGAGTCCCTGAAAAGGGGGCACTAAA